GAGGGGGTAATAATAATCTTACTAAATGAGAAAGTGAGGGGCTTCCCGGGTGGCACAGTGGTTAAGAATCTGCCTGCCAATGCAGGGGACACGGGTTCAAGCCCTGGTCCGGGAAGATCCCACATGCCATGGGGCAACTAAGCCCGTGCACCACAGCTACTGAGCCTGCACTCTAGAGCCCACAAGCCACAACTACTGAGCCTGTGCGCCACAACTACTGAAGCCTGTGTGCCTAGAGCCCATGCTCCACTACAAGAGAAGCCACTGCCATGAGAAGCCTGCGCACCGCAGCGAAGAGTAGCCCCTGCTTGCCACAACTAGAGAAAGCACACACACAGCAATGAAGGCCCAATGCAGCCAAAATAAATAAATAAATATATATTTTTTAAATAAGTAAATTAAATAAATGAGAACGTGACATAAGGCGTTGTGAATGCTCCAGGGTAGACTTGAAGAGGAAAAACTGAAGATAGTGAAACAACATCTACTCATTTCATCTGGCTTAAAATAGAGAAAAAGATGAAGTCCTGGCAAGATTTTGAAATAAAGTGGGATTGTCTGAGGGTTATAATAAGAAAGAAAATTTACCCATGAAACTTTAAAAGGGAACAGCAAAAGTTAGTCATGTGATTACAAGAACCCAAAAAAATATTTAACACCAAAAGAAAGAAGGGTCGCCAGAATGCTTTGAAGCTGGTTGAGCTAGTAATTACAAGGAACAACTTTCCTCGCCCTTTTTAGGAAAGCAAATCCACATGGCCGTTGTCTCATTTTCTGGTAACTGCCACAGCTGTCCTTGAAGCAACAGTTGCCAGCAGGTTAATCAGCTGCTTCCACAGCCCTGTGTATGCATAGTATTCAGTCTGCTTGTTTCTTACATTACATTGTTTTTCCAAGAATTTGTTCCCAGCCTTACTTCAAAAACAGTTTTGAACATGATATTCAGTTTCCTAACTCCCCACATCACTTTCATGTGATCTAATCTTCAGACTACCTGGATGTACTGTACATCTTAGTCAGTTGGACTAAAGAAAATTCTGGTTAGTGAGGCTTTATTTTTCCTTTAAGGGTAGGGTATAGTTCATTTATCTTGGGAACTTTTAAATGTATGTCACAAGTTTTATTCTACATCAGTAGAAATTCCATTCAGAAAAGATTGATCAGAAACTTAGAATACCTATTAGCTTTAAAGGAAAAGTTCAATGAGAATTTAAAACAAGGAAGTGTTAGTATATAAGATAGAAATGTAGAATGACATAGCCAGCTCCATCTGCAATCCGTGGCCCAAGTCACATGAGTAGGGGCCCTGACTGCGGCCTGCGCTTGTGGGTTACCCTTTCAGCCCTGTCTCATTTGCATCTGTTAGTGTTTGTTGCAGGAGAGTTGTCTGACCCCCTAATCCCTAAGAGAGGTAGTACACAAGGCAGAGAGTTTGTTGGAGGGAGACTGGGATGGAGTCACAGCTGGACAGGAGTGGGTGAGGGAAGCCCCTGCTGGACTGTAGTACCTGAGCAGGAGAGGAAAGCAGAAGGGGCTGCAAACAGGGCAGGCGCGCTGGGGGCCCAAGCCCTCCTCATTCATGATCTGGCCCCACGCTGACCAGTTGGAGGACAAACTTAGGGCACTCTCACCAGCCTGATGCTAATGAGAGGCCACGATTTGTAGGGTTCTGAAGAAACAGAGAGGAAAAGGGTTTCTTCAGGATTAGATAATTTTCCTGCACCTTTCTCTGAAAGAATGGCTGGCCCAACATGGCCAAGTCACTGTACAAACAGGGAGAATTGCAAATGAGATTGTGAAGAGCTGTGACACTTCGGGAATTCTCCCCCTCTTCCCAAAGCCACTGCACACATGCCTGGTTACTTCTAACCTCCCAGAGGTCCACTTTGCCCAATTTATTTTTTGACCAGGATCGCATGGCATTCATTGAAGTCCTCCTTTCAAATGTTTTCCTCTAAAATAAAGGAAAGTTTTCAGGAAAGCACTTCAGATGGAGGTGAGAACCAAACATGGCCAGCCACCGGCAAGTGTAGATGTTGGAGAGCCAAACCTGTACGCCATAACACTGTGTACAAAATGTTTATTATCCTAAAACAGCTCACAGTAGATTCCGTAATTATCCCCATTTTACAGCCTGAAATTGACTTGTGATGACATTTTTCAAGATAAAAAATAAAACACTGAAGCCCGTGTGACTTCCTTTGTCAGTGTCTGTGTTTGTCTAACCTGCTTTAAGCCAGCCTGTGGCAGTGAATCCATAATTCAGGTGAAAACAAATCAGCTCAATAACAAAAAAATAAACAACCCAATCCAAAAATGGGCAGAAGACCTAAACAGACATTTCTCCAAAGAAGATATACAGACTGCCAACAAACACATGAAAGAATGCTCAACATCATTAATCATTAGAGAAATGCAAATCAAAACTACAATGAGATATCATCTCACACCAGTCAGAATGGGCACCATCAGGAAATCTACAAATGACAAATGCTGGAGAGGGTGTGGAGAAAAGGGAACACTCTTGCACTGCTGGTGGGAATGTGAATTGGTACAGCCACTATGGAGAACAGTATGGAGGTTCCTTAAAAAACTACAAATAGAACTACCATATGACCCAGCAATCCCACTCCTGGGCATATACCCTGAGAAAACCATAACTCAAAAAGAGTCATGTACCAAAATGTTCATTGCAGCTCTATTTACAATAGCCCAGAGATGGGAACAACCTAAGTGTCCATCATCAGATGAATGGATAAAGAAGATGTGGCACATATATACAATCGAATATTACTCAGCCATAAAAAGAATTGAAATTGAGCTATTTGTAATGAGGTGGATAGACCTAGAGTCTGTCATACAGAGTGAAGTAAGTCAGAAAGAGAAAGACAAATACCGTATGCTAACACATATATATGGAATTTAAGGGAAAAAAATGTCATGAAGAACCTAGGGGTAAGACAGGAATAAAGACACAAACTTACTAGAGAACGGACTTGAGGATATGGGGAGGGGAAAAGGTGAGCTGTGACAAAGCGAGAGAGAGGCATGGACATATATGCACTACCAAATGTAAGGTAGATAGCTAGTGGGAAGCAGCCGCATAGCACAGGGAGATCAGCTCAGTGCTTTGTGACTGCCTGGAGGGGTGGGAGGGAGGGAGACGCAAGAGGGAAGAGATATGGGAACATGTATATGTATAACTGATTCACTTTGTTATAAAGCAGAAACTAACACACCATTGTAAAGCAATTATACCCCAATAAAGATGTTAAAAATTTTTAATTTAATTTAAAAAAAAGAAATCATTTAAAGCCAATGTACATAAAAACAAGTAGCCAACATGACCCCTATTTTTAGTGCAGAAATATATTCAAGATCAAAGCCATTAATGTTTGCCTGTTTTATTTAATCACATGCCTTTTACCTGGAAGATGTGGGTCTTTTGGCATACAAATGAGTGTACAGGGAAGGATTCAGGCTTTATGCTGTCCAAATTAAATTCTAAAAGCCAGAAAATTCATCATTCTGACATCTCTTTGCAGATGCAGAATGTGTGTTGAAATATCTCTTGAAATGTGTCTTGTTTACTTGAGGAATACATTTAGCAGATTATATTAATTAGAAATAATATCTGAGTAAAGTCTTTAATAACGTATCTCTTTTTAAACATAAAATCAAAGGGGCTGATTTCCCAAGTTGCAAGAATGGGTGTTTCCCCTGATTACCTACAGTTTGGATTTTGAGGTTTTCTTCTTAATAAGTTATATTTTTTCCTTGAGTTATCAGCATCCATTATTTTTGGCTATATTGCAATCTGGGTTTGCAGATATTATGTATTAAAAAATGGAGAAGTTGGGGAAAATATTTCACAAGAGACATTCTCTACTATTAAGATTTCTTGTAAAGTATTTTTGCCATTATAAGTTGTAGGAGGTGTGTCCTCTATAAGAATACCTCAGAAGCACAATTTTAGATACTGAGAACCTATTTAACAGTCCTCCATTTTGAGATTTTTTTGTGAAAGATTTTATATGAACAAGATGATTTTTATAACCCGTGAGTAAAATCTTCCAATTACATCTCTAAAACCATTTTCCGTGGAATTTCAGTATTACCAAAATATATAAATAATGTTAAGTTTACCTTAAACCTCATTGATCTAAATAAACTCAGTAATAATGGATACAGTTATGCAGTATAGCTTCTAAATGGAAAATTGTCATCATTTTCAAGAGAATGAATGGCTCTAGGGAAATGTACAGCTTAGGAATGACAAAAACTGTCATCCAAGCAGAGAACAAAATTGTGGAAATTACAGAGTTGAGCCCTGGGAATCCTCAAATTTGCCTTTAAACAATACCTTCTTCAAACAAGTGGTTACCAGTGGGGAGAGGGAAAGGGGAAAGGCAGCATAGGGGTAGAACTATTAGGTATAAAAGAGGTAGGAACTAAGAGGTTATACTATTAGGTATAGCGTAAGCTACAAGAGAATATTGTACAACACAGGGAATATAGCCAATATTTTATAACAACTATAAATGGAGTATAATGTTTAAAAATTGTGAATCACTGTATCGTACACCTGTAACTTACATAATATTGTATAACAACTATACTTCAATAAAAAATTTAAAAAGATAAAAGAAAGCAATTATCTTCCCTCGTGTGGTCCCTAGTGAAACCGTGGTCTCATTAGACGAAGAAGACAGAGCTGGAAAAGCAAATATGCGTTTCTGAAATTTGTTTGGCCGTAACCTTTTTTGAAGTTTTCTGAGCACCTCAGGATATGCATGTTCCATGGAACCTACTTTGTGAAGCAGTAGGTTAGATTTAGTCATGTAGCCTCTACTCAAACAGAGCTCCAATTTGGCAAGCCAGAAAGTTGCTTTTGCCAACATTTAGATACAAAGAGCTAGTATAAAGCGGTGATGTAATGCATGGTGCATTTAGAAATGTTTATGTTGAAGCTGAGTTATCTCTTCTCTTGTCTCTTCCAGGTGTTTCATCCCAAACATCTATGCAGCTCTGTTCAGTGCAGCTCTTGTTCCGTTAATGTGCCTCGTGGTAGTATTTGTGGTGTTCATCCATGCCTACCAGGTGAAGCCACAGTGGAAAGCATATGATGATGTTTTCAGAGGAAGAACAAATGCTGCAGGTTTGAAAGAAACTGTATTTGTATTTTAAGATGGGGACTTTTAATGGAGGGAAAAGGTCACTGAATATTCTTTATCAAGAAAAGGAGTGAGGGCTTCCCTGGTGGCGCACTGGTTGAGGGTCCGCCTGCCGATGCAGGGGACACGGGTTCGTGCCCCGGTCCGGGAAGATCCCACATGCCTCGGAGCAGCTCGCGCTGAGCCTGTGCGTCCGGAGCCTGTGCTCCTCAACAGGAAAGGCCACAGCAGTGAGAGGCCCACGTACCGCAAAAAAAAAAAAAAAAAAGAAAATGAATGAGGTTCGACTTAGCTTTCAGCTCTGAAGCCATAAGTTAAATTATAGTTCTCCAATTTCTCCCACTCCTTGGGACTTCCTGACATCTCTCTTTCTTCAGGGCTCTGCAGGTTTTATTCCGATGCCAGTTTTGTCCCTGAGATATTAATATTCAAGTAAATGACTCACAGCCTTTGGGAGCTGCTTCCCCAAGTGTTCTTCAACTCAAGCAGTAACAACCTGTGTTCAACCTGTGAAATCTGTTCATTTCTTTCAGATTCTGAGACTTCTTCACAAACCTCCATAATGCTTGGGAGTGCTGTATTTTGCATGTGGAGTTTTGACTGTGCTGACAAATGTTTAAAAACATATGTGACCAGACAGCTTCATAAGTGGCTACACATGTCTGGTTACTTAAGAGTACAGTCTTTCCAGCTCAAATTGGCTTTCACTACAGCTCATTTTTTCCCTTTGAATCATGCTTAACACAGGTTTTTATGATGTGTTTCTTTTTCTGTTGTTAGATTAGCGTCTCTTAGGAATTTGTTTAAGGAACAATAACTAAACACCTACATACAGAAAACCCACTCTAAAATGGTTTGAGTGATATTAGGGAGAATCTAATGAGCTGGGGGTGGAGGAATCCCGCTTGGGCCAAGTGGAAGACTAGTCTTTTCTAAGCTTTTACAAATCTAAAGCCAAATGAATGGAGTTCTTCACTTTTTAAGTGCTTTTCAGAGTTTAAGCAAGATACCATATATGAAGTCCCTAGAATACATAATATAATAATGTCTAATACATTATTAGAGACTCAATAGATATTGTCATTTATAGGCTAATAAAAGGATTCATTCTAATATATGAAAAGCCTGTAGTCCCTAAACTGTGTCAGGGAAGATGCAAAAAGATTTTCCTTGTTATGTAAAAAGAAGGGACTCTTTTATATTAGTCTGTGGGGTAGTTTGTAGATAGTTGTATCTAGCCAACTCTTCCCTCTTCTCTCCCATTTAGCATGCAATTATTATGTGGGCAGAAATATTATTTAAGGTTATGATTAATCTTAGATTCTTCCATTAAAAAAGCAATATTCAATGTAGAAATCCACCTTTTTCACGGGATATAGAATTTATCTAGAAGCTATGCTTTTATTCAACTTGAGATTCATTTTATTAAAATGCATATTCTCTTTTGAAGGAAAAGTTTGTTTCTTTCCGCAAATAACCAGATTTATTTTGTTCTGTATATTATGTAAAAGTGCCAATGTTTGCATGTTTTCAATAATGATAACATCATAAGGGCCTAACCTAACGAGTTAGTCCTTTCATGCCTGAATCACCCCTGTGCCTTTTTGGATATGAGCCATCGTGGATACAGTAGATAAACAATGCTCTGATTATCTGAAAAACAGCCCTCAAGCATTGAACATAATGCTAAAAGCCCTAGCACACTTCTATCTCAACTAGCGAAACCGCTC